CCATACATTCAATGGGCCTTACCCGACATCCATCAGGCCCCGCCCGGTACAGATCTGATCGTAACATACCATGGGCCCCACCCAACACATTCATCAGGCTCCACCTGACATTGAGCCATGCCCGGTATGCATACAAACATATACCATACATTCAAGAGTCACACAGACAATTAGCATCATATGAACATAATCAATGGGTTGACATGGGTGCCTTCGACCCGCCAAACACTATGAGGAGACTCACCTCAACCTAGAGATAACCGAATCACATGTGTTGCTGCTACCGACTCCTCATACTAAACACATCCAAATTATCCTTAATCAATAATTAAGACAATTTCCCATAATCCAAGGTCTGATTCATATTATATCATACCAATGGGTAAAAGACTAATTTACCTTCCTATACTTGGCCCAACAGAGCAAGGCCCAAACCCAAAATGTCTCAAGGCCCAAAAAATGGCCCAAGAGCCATTCAGGTGCGTACGCCCAACGTACCAACCTAATACGCCCAACGTACGACGCTGAGGCCTGAAGATAACTCCAAACCTCTTAATTCCTTAAGAAAACATGCATAAGTTACATATTTGATCCTTATGGGACGTCCTAAGTCATAAAGTTCTTGACTTTATGACTTTGCATGGCTTAATGGTGTCCAAATCGTAGCCCTAAATCTCTAACTTCATTAAAAGACCACCAACTCATGCATGGAAGGATTATACTCATCAATATCCTATTTTTGTAGCTTAATGACCTCAAAATGACTAAAAAATGGGCTCAAAGGTTCTGGAGTAGCTTCTACTCACAAGATCCAAACCATGGGACCAAAACATGCTCATATCATGACCTAAGGCTAGATCTACATCAAATAGTCATCATGTTTAAAACGTTATACCTCCAGAAGATAAGTCAAGGTAACAAGGCCTAGATTTACAAGCTCCAAGACAACCAACACTTCTCCAAGGTGCACCAAAAACACTCCAAAACACATACGAGGCTCAAAATCCTCACAATGGGACTAGGGTTTCGAGATAATTGCTTTAGGGAGATGTAGGCTGAATATAAAGAGAGTTTCCAGAAGTTAAGTTGCTTAAATAGGGATCAAAGACTCAATATTAGGGTTCGAGTCTCGACCGTGTATGCCCAACGTACTTTTGGTATGACCAGCGTACCAGGTTGCCCTCCGCGATCACTCCTGTCCATTACGCCCAACATACTCGGCTCAATCCAAAATCTTTATAACTACTAATGGTCACAACTTCCGCGTCCGTAATCCGTTTTCGACGTTCTTTATATGTCCGGGAAAGTAATGAGAAGCCCTACAACCTCATCTTATATCCTTCAACTTAAAATCATCTGAACTTAAATCCTTAAATTCCAGAAAGATTGGAAACATTACTTTTATCATTGAACTATTGGACTCTAAAGTACAAACCGAAAGCTTGGCTCAGACAACCTATGTAATCCACTCCCAAATGGGCCTAGAACTCAAACCCTTTGAAGTCTAGGCCCTTAACTTGATCCATTAGCGTCCATAATTCCCGAAATTGGAAGCTCCTCGAAACCGGATGTTATATACTCACTGGTTCGTAATTACGATTACTACAATTTTTATCTAGATTATTCATCCTAAATAATCTTTTAATTAAATTGTTTATTTAACACAAATTGTTTAAGCTTAAAATAATTTTATACAAATATTATATACTCGTAATATTTATCCAAACTTCATGTGTGTGTGTGTGTATATATATATATATATATATATATATATATATATATATATATATATATATATATATATATATATATATATATATACATCATGTTTGAAGAATTCTCATTCATTTATTTATAAGAAAATTTACATTAATTCAGTCGTAAATACCTAGCGAAAAACGCAGACGTTACAAATATTCACAAAACTTAAGAAGAAAAAGAAGATATTAGGTTTCTCTTTCTACGTTGAGGAGATTACTTTTAATTTCTTGTAAAACCTAACTGGAAGAAGAGAGTAAGTAATGACGACATCAACATCCTATCTTTGACTTATCCTAATAGCAGAACGGTATAGTAGACGGTGTGCTCTCCCTCTCGTATAGTGACATTGAGAACAAACTTGAGGTCGATAAATTCGCGAGTATAGAAATTCATTTCGAACAACTGAAAAACATTTTATTTTATTTTCTATTAAAATTTTGCATACAGTTATGATCTACAATTACGAATGATACGAAAGTCATACATGACATATATTTACAACTGACTTTTGTATATCATAATTTGTAACATTTTTTGTAATTTTTTACAAATATTTTACGACTTAAAATTAGGACAAATATTTTTTATGTCATGATTTTTTTACATAATTTTACATAGGGGTGTTGATCGGGTAATTTTTTTGGGTTTCGGGTAATTCGGGTTTTTCATGTTAGAAAAAATACCCGTTACCCTACCCAAACTAAATTCGGGTAATTCGGGTTTGGGTAATTCGGGTATCGGGTCGGGTTTGGGTAATTCGGGTATTACCCGAAATATATAATTTTTTTTTGAATTTTACCTGAAAATAAATTTAATGAAATAAATACGTCGTGCTTTATTAGTCTTGTTTATATAAACAAACGAGACATAAACGAAGTTACTTAAGCTTTGAACATTGAGATTTTTTAGTCAATAATACGATATCAAGTAATTTTTTAACAACTTAATCTAATCTGATAAGATGTTAAAAAAACAAATACTTAAAGATCTTAATTTAAAAGTTTAAAATGTTTAAGATAATTGTAGTCATAAGTTTTGCCATGTTCTGAAGTTTCGTCAAGATAATGAGTTTGTTAGTTGCAATAAAAACTATAATCTAGAAAACAGTTAAGTTTTAAAGAACATGATGATATATAAACAATAAAAACTATACATTTGTATGTCATGATTTTACGTTTTTATAAAAATATAATTTTTTTTTCAAAATTGTACCAATATTAATCAAACTAAACTACACATTTAATGTCTCATAATGCAAACTATACCACGTATTGGCTTCATAGATAAGATCTTGGAAGCTTTTAAAAGTTGAAAATGCATTGCTTGAAGAGAAAGACGTCCTGACAGGATTTGAACTAGTCAAACCGTGTGACATATGGTGGGCCGCAATTAGGCCACCGCCGCCATAATTATGTGTTTTGTGGTGTCTTCGTGGGTTTTTAAGACTATTAATACATCTCTCCTGGAGCCGTATTCCACACACCAAAACCGACATTTCTCTTTGCTCTATTCTCTCCCTCTACAATTATGCATTCTTCTGGATTTTCAAGTATTTCCTTTGAGTTTATTAGTTCTTCCACAACTATTGGAAAAAACGATAATCGACATTAAATCATTATGTTTTACGTTGATGTTTATAGCCTTCGAAGGAGACATTGAAGGACAAGAGTCATTCTGTGCAAGTTTCAACTAACAATAATTTGCTATTTTCAGATTTGATTTTACTTTTCCGTCTCGTATTTAATTCATCCGACAACGAGATACTCTCATTCTTCATATTCTTATAACTAGATCTCATCATGAATGATCAATTTAATTTTTGTACAAAATTTGGTAATCTAATAATAATACTACTATAATTTATTATTTGCGAGGATTTGATATATAATTCTTAATATTATTTATAGGTTCGTTTGTTTGATATTATTAACGATTATATATTACTTCACAATATTAATCTTCATATTATAGATTTGTCAAGTTTGAAATACAACAAATGAGAAATCTTCAGAAAAGTCCTAAAATTTTACCTTAATTTACGAAAAAATCCCAAACTAAAATTTGTTTACGAAAAAGCATGAATTACCGGTAAAAATGGCGATTTGACCCATTTTTTTCGGTTTACCGGTTTTATTACTTACATGTTTCACTAAAGTCTCATTATTTTACCTTAATTTGCGAATAAGTCCCAAAATAAAATTTACTGATGATTTGACCATTTTCTTCATGTAACATATATTTTATCGGTTTCATTGCTGACTTAGACACCTAGTCATTAAATTAGCTGATAAGATGAATACGATGGGTTATATAATGTCACATTTACTGTAAATTTGATACCCATCTCATCGACTCATTTATGACTATGTATCTATGTCGGCAATGAAACCAATAAAATGTGTGTTTCCAAGAAAAAATAGTAGAAAATGAGTTGATGTCTGATGAGATGGATATATTGGGTTACATAAGATTAGATAGACAATTTGATATTTCTTATAAACGTAAAAAATAACGCAGTTGTTGTTAGTTTATGTAATTATTGTAGTCTTCGTTGGATGTATTTTATGTTCCAAAAAGATATACAACACATCAGGATATCAAGTTTTATGCTAAACATATCATTATATAACTCAACATATCCATCTCATCATCTCATTTAATGACTAGGCGTCCGGGTGAGCAATGAAACCAGTAAAATGTATGTTACATAGAGAAAATGGTCAAATTATCAGTAAATTTTATTTTGGGACTTATTCGCAAATTAGGGTAAAATAATGAGACTTTAGTGAAACAGGTAAATAATAAAACCGGTAAACCGGAAAAATGGGTCAAATCGCCATTTTTACCGGTAATTCATGTTTTTTCGTAAACAAATTTTAGTTTGGGACTTTTTCGTAAATTAGGGTAAAATTTTAGGACTTTTCTGAAGATTTCCCTACAACAAATACACGATTCTTTGATGCTTTTCAACTATTCAAACTTACCATGAGAAAGTACGTTATCCATTGATTTGCATCCATGAGGAAAGGCCCTCTCCATATATGATCCTCCACACTTCGGAAAGGTTTTTTGTTGACTCTCCTTTTTCTTCTTGTTTCAAGAGTAGTAGATGATTGACTAGTTTCACAACTTTTAGTTTGAATTGATACAAGTTTATCACCTTTCCTAATAAGCCGGAATATAAAACTCTTGGCATTTTCTTTCCACATGCTCACAATTATTTATATAACAACTTCATAGATTGTTGGTCATTGACTCATTTCCATTACAATCCGAGTCAACTCGGCAACAGTCAGCCAAATTTCGCCAACTGTAGTTTTATGCGCCAAATTACATAAAAATCCCCATAAACACAAACAATGCAGTTTTATCGATGTCACAACCATCGACAATAGTTTACTGAAATATACGTTATACAAAAAAAAAAATACAGAAAATAAATCTTAATCGATTTCGCCTTTTTCACTTAACGTTCACAATCTTGATAATAGACGCCGTTCCGACGCGATGTAACGCCACCACCGCATCCCCCGCCTTACAAAGCCCTTTCTCCTTCGCATGTTGCAGAGCAAAATCCAAAGCTTCTTCCGTCGATTCAGCATGAGAAGCTTTCGCCGATCCGGCGGATAACACCGGAACCAAACCCCTAAAAATCAAACTATGCCTCGCCGGCGTTTCATCGCTACACGACCAGTCAAACGTATCCGTCTTAATTTCCGGCACCACCACTGACAAAATCGGCATCCCGGGCCGGTACTTCGCCACCAGCTTCGCGGTGCTTCCGCCTCTTGTCAGAACCAAAATTAGGGTTGCTCTTGATGAGTTAGCGGTTCGAACGGCGGCGGACGCTAGGCTTTCGAGTGGGCTCATCGGGACAGGGGCGTTTGCGGCGATTCGTTTGAAGACGTCGGCGTAATTGATTGTGTTTTCTGCTTCGATGCAGATTCTGGCCATGGTTTTCACGGCGACTTCAGGGTATGCTCCGGCGGCGGTTTCGCCGCTGAGCATGACACAGTCGGTTCCGTCGAGGACGGCGTTGGCGACGTCTGTGGCTTCTGCTCGCGTTGGTCGTGGGGATTTGATCATGGATTCGAGCATTTGAGTGGCGGTGACTACCGGTTTTCCTTGGAGGTTGCATTTGTAAATCATGACTTTTTGTGCTAGGAATATTTTCTCGATCGGGATTTCCATTCCTAAATCTCCACGCGCCACCATAAACGCGTCGGAGTTGGCTAGGATTTCATCAAAGTTTGCCACCCCTTCTTGATTCTCCACCTAGCCCAAGTTAAAAAAAAAAAATCCCAGATTAATATAAATATAATTTAATAATAAATTGCATAAGATATTATAAAAAATATATGTTTAAGTTTGGAAGAATATACTTTGAATACTTTTTTATTGTTCAAAAATGATTTTATAAGTTGAATATACATACATTTATATAATTTTAATGCACGTGAAACACAGATTATCAAACTGTTTTGACTGTTATACCTTTGACATAAGAAGGATGTTCTTTGCATTCTCGCCCAACAATTTTCGAACCTCAACAAGATCTGAACCTTTACGAACAAAAGACAAAGCAATCATATCGATCTTGTTAGGAACACCCCATGTCAGTATATCTTCTTTATCTTTCTCGGTCAAAGTTGGAAGGTCAACTATGACTCCTGGAAGATTAACGTTTTTTCGTTCACCAAGAACCGCAGTGTTCTCACAACGACAACGAACCAAACCCTTTTCAGTGTCACATGAAAGAACAGAGAATGAGATTGTGCCATCTGCGCACAGTATCACCATTCCTGGTTTTACATCGTAAGCTAACTTTTTGTAGCTCATGCAAATCATGGTGTTGTCACCTTTAATGTCGTAATCAGTAGAGATTGTGATTTCTTCGCCTTGTTTTAGTTGGATTGGTTTTCCATCTTTTAAAAAACCGGTTCTAATCTCTGGACCCTGAGAATATCATCAAAAGATGAATAAATGGAACTTAAAAAAAAAAAAGTTTAAAGTTGTTTTTTATTATATAATAAGCCACCAAGGTATGTGGTCCATAAAAGGTTGTTCATAGATCATAACATCTCAATGTTCGAACTTTAATAGTACAAGTTCCTCCTGTAAAAAGTTTATGTGAATGGATCTTGAAAAGTTGAGTTTAAAAATCTCCTTTAGATCATACCAGGAATTTCAAAAGTATGTATTTTTTTAAAATCTTTATTGACTATGTATTTCTTTTTCTTTTGTTAATGATTGAACAGTTGACATTTATAAAGTCATTTCAATTCAGTGAACTATACAAAGTTTAAAGGTTTTATCATATTAACATTTCACATTTTATATGACTTTAGTTTAATAAGCAACATATTTTTAATCATTATATACAGTACACCATTTTTCAATTGTTATATTGATTGAAAATTAAATTAAAAGTTATATAGAAAAAATACATACTAATTTTAAATGTACACTACTTTAAAATAACATAAGTTAAATGATTCTTACCGGCTTAAATTAATTATTAAGATTTTGAATTATTTTTATTTTTATGTTAATTATTTATTAGTTAATTTTAGTTAAAATTTTAAATTATTATTATTGATTTATATTATATTATATTATATTTTAATAAGTTAAATGACATAAAATCAAACAAAAACTCTCTTCCCGTTTATAAATAACCTATTTTAGTTATATGTCGATACATGATTTATAGATCAGTTAATGAATATTAGATTCATACATGTGAATTATTTCCTTTTCAGATCTATCAGATTGCATCTGAACTAGATCTAGTGTGTAATAATTGATATAAAGTTATCATAGTTCAAGTACCAAATATACAAATCTTTCTAAATTTACTAAATTATGCAAAAAAAAAAAAAAAAAAAATCGAATATCTAAAAGATCAGTTATTTGTTTCAATTATTGTCTATACTTTCCATTATTTGTTTCAATTATTGTCTATACTTTCCATTAGAAGGAACACAAACTGACAAATTCTCTTAAAAAACAGAGAGTTTGCTAGATTCAGACATCGATCGTTGCCATGGCTGAATGGAAAACAAATCGCGTAGCCATGACCAATAAGGACGAGCTTATAGATCTAATTAGATCTAATTAACGAAACATAGCATCAAATGATAATGAAAAAGTCAACATCCCAACAAAATTGGGGACTAGATTAGACTTAGTATGAACACAAAATAGTGATCGAATCAATATCAGAATTCAGAAGTAGTCAATTTTACCACCGAAGTCAAAATTAAATCTGTATCAGATGCATAAACACTTAGAAGAATTAGACATTGCTGTGTATATGATGCGAGAAACAGATTGCAAACAATCGATCGATTAGTGGAGATCTAGTAGAGAATAGAGACGACGTACTTTGGTATCGAGCATGACTGCACAGAGAATACTGGTGTTATCCATGGCAGTTTGGAGATTATCAAGCGTTTCCTGATGATACTCATAAGATCCATGTGAGAAGTTGAATCGAGCTACGTTCATTCCAGCTTTCAACAGTTTCTCGACCATAGTAACAGATCTAGAAGCGGGTCCCAAAGTGCAAACGATCTTAGTTCTCGGCCTCCTCACGCCAATTTCTTGCAGACTCTGATCGGTCTTCATCTGGTCCATGTTTGCTAAGATCTAATCGGTATCAGATCAAATCAAGTTGACTGATCTGTTCTCAAATGAAAATTTGAGATGAAAAAGCTCTGATTTTTGGATGGGAGATAAGGAAGTTTTGTGGAGACTGACGAAATGAAAGTGATGTGAAAGTGAATGAAAGCCATGGGGTCGATGGTGGGTATCTAGAGTTAGTTTATTCATGAATAATGGCACATGCTTGATGATTCATCCCACGATGTGATCGACCCAACCGAAATCTTTTACCTTTTTGGTTCCTTTCTTGTCTTTGTAATTAAGAAGAACTTTTGCCCTAATTCGTAAAGTGTCAATCATTAGCTACTACAACCTAATATTTGTAGTATTTTATGTTTTAATTATTTGATAGAACACTCATGTATGCAATGATATTAGGTCATGGGGTATACACGGCACAAAGAGGTCTCATGGCCAGGTCCACGCCACGGTCGTGCAAACCACCCGGAGGGTGCCATTGTGCAACGTGTGTGGTCCGTCGTGGTATATACTATATACTATGGAATGCAACGGCCAATTAGAAAATACAGGTGAGTTTCCTAGGACAACAGCTATAAAAATTAGAAAAAAAATTTAATTAAAACCATTTTTTCTTTCTATAAATATTACCATTTACTATAATTTTTTTCATACTATAAACAATGATATCTGAATCTCCAATAATCTGGAGTATCGTATATTTCACTATATATATGGATTACAAAATACAAGATAACATAATTTAAATACAACAAATAGCCTATCAAGTAGGACTAGATAATCTTGGTTTTGAGATGGTACTCTTATCGTTAATACCCCCCGTCAAGCTGGAAGGTGGAGGTCCAACACACAGCTTGGATTGAAATCGTTCAAACAACGGACGAGGAAGACTCTTAGTAAACAGACCGGCCACCATTTTAGTGGTAGGAATGAACCGCGTGAGTAACTTACCAGAAGTAACCAACTCTCTAACAAAATGATAATCTATGTCGATATGTTTGGCACATTTATGAGCAACTGTGTTCTGTCTCAGAAATATAACACTTCTGCTATCGAAGTATAAACAAGGCGTTGGAGAGATGGGAATATGAAGCTCACGTAGGAGATGAGTGATCCAAATCATTTCAGACGTCGTATTACCCATTGCCCTATACTCAGATTCATAGCTAGAACGTGACACAGTAGGTTGCTTTTTAGCACTCCAAGAGACAATGTCACCACCAAGAAAGATGGAGTATCCATACGTGGAACGCGTGTCTCAACACAACGTGCCCAGTCGGCATCGGAGTAGGCAACAAGAGGAATATTAGGAGACCGTGTGTAAGTTAGACCAAAGGAAACAGTTCCCTTGACATAGCGAAGAATGCGCTTGACTGCTTGAAAGTGAGCAGTAGTTGGTGCATGAAGAAATTGGCTAACCTGATTTAAAGCATAAGAGAGGTCAGGTCTAGTGATTGTAAGATATTGTAAGGAACCAACTAATGACCGATACAGAGTTTGATCATGAAATGGTTCACCGGAAGTAGTAAGCCGTTTAGAAGTAGCAAGTGGAGTATGTACTGGTTTGCCGTCCAATAAACCAACTCTTGATAGAATATCCAAGGCATATTTAGTCTGAGTGAGAAACAAGCCATCTGGAGTGTACAGAACCTCAAGACCCAAGAAATAACTCAGCTTACCTAAGTCTTTAATAGCAAATTCCTGATGGAGGCGTTGGATGAAGGTTGCTATTGAGTGTTGGTTATTCTCAATGAGAATTATGTCATCAACATAAACAAAGAGAAAAAGAATGGAGGATCCATGTTTAATCATGAATAACAAAGGATCAGCATGGCTACACGTAAAACCCACTTGAGTGAGAAATGAACTCAAGCGCTGAAACCAGGCGCGTGGGGCTTGTTTTAAGCCATAAAGAGCATTCTTAAGACGAAAGACGTGATCCAGGAACTGGGAATCAATGAACCCCGGTGGTTGCTCCATGAAAACAGTTTCGCTTAGATGTCCATTGAGAAACGCATTATTAACATCAAGTTGATGTAAGGGCCAATTTTGATGAACAACAAGTGATATAATAATACGCACTGTTGAGGCTTTAACAACAGGGCTAAAGGTGTGAGAGAAGTCGAGACCTGGAATCTGATTGAAACCTTGAGCAACTAAGTGGGCTTCTTAACAATCGATAAAACCATCCGATCGATATTTGGTGCGGAAGACCCACTTGGTGCCAACAATGTTGAAAACATTAGATCGTGGAACAAGATCCCAAGTATCATTGTTTTTGAGGGCCCGTATTTCATCATGGATAGCTTGGAGCCACTTAGAGTGTTTTGCAGCAGATTTGAAACCTTTTGGATCTTTTTGAGCAAAAAGAGTTGTATGCAAGTTTGTGGATAAAATGGTTGTAAAACCAAGAAATGTACGGGGCTTTGAAATCCCAGCCTTCCCTCGAGTGAGCATCGGATGAGCTGATTGAGGAACAACGGCTGGAGTGAGCGGATCTGGGCACTGAGGCGAAGCCGATGAATGGGCTGGGACGGGTCCGGTTGAATCCAATTGAAGTACCGGTTGCTGAGGAATGGGTTGGGCCAGGTCCGGACATAAGCGACATGGACTTGGACCAGTGTTTGTTGCGACAACAGGCTGGGTAATCGGATCATCAGGAGGCTGTGAGAAAATTACAGGTATCGCACAAGCTTCTTCGAAAGTTGCAAGTAGTAAATTAGCATCTGCAGTTTCAGAATTATTGCCAGTGAATGGAAAATTTGTTTCATCGGATTTTATGTGGCGGGTTGTGTAAATTTTGGAGGTGGACATGTCAAGACAATGATAACCTTTGTATTGTGTACTATATCCGATGAAGACACATGGAATACTTCTAGGAGCAAGCTTGTGGTATGAGTAGTTGCGACGATATGGGAATACCCGACAGCCAAAGACGCGGAAGACATGGAAATTTGGTTGAGTGTTAAAAAGAAGCTCGAATGGTGATTTGTTATTTAACACCTGGGATGGCAGTCTATTAATGATATAGACGGATGAATTGAAGGCATCGAACCATAGAGATGCAGGAGCACTAGCATTAAATAACATTGCAAGACCAGTTTCAGTGATGTGGCGGTGTTTTCATTCAGCGCGACCATTTTGTTCAGGTGTATATGAACAGGAGATTCTATGATGAGTACCATTGTTAGAAAACATAGATTTAACTTAATTGTTGATGAATTCTGTGCCACCATCACTTTGGAAAACCTTGACCTTGCGAGAGAATTGGGTTTGAACAAAGGTCAAAAAACTTTTTAGTACAATTTTGAAGTCTGATTTGTGCTTTAATGGGTAGAACCAAGAAAACCTGGAAAAGTCGTCCACGAAGATAGCATAATACATATATCCATCAGTAGATGGGATGGGTGCAGGTCCCCATAAATCACAATGAATCATATCCAACACATATGGTGAACATTTTTCATTAATATAAAATGGAATCTTGTGACTTTTGGAAAGTTCACAAGATGAGCAAATATCAGGTTTGGGTAAAAGAGAAGTAACAAATAAATGACCATGTTTATGTAATAATGAAATAACAGAAAAAGAGACATGTCCTAATCTACTATGCCAAAGCTCATATGACGCTCGCAGCCTGCTCGAATTTAACTAAGAAACCAAAGCTTGATCTCCACACCCAAGCACATAGAGACCATTATCAACTCTGCCCTTTGTTAGAACCTCCTTGGTGTGTCTTTTCTGGATTGCAAATTTGTCATTAGAGAACAAAACATCAATAGGAGAATCAGTTGTTAACTTACTTATAGAAAGAATTTTTTTTGTTAATTTTGGGACCACAAGGACATCTGCAAGGTTAATATATTTAGTAATGGATGCATTTCCAATTCGTAAGATGTGGAGAATATTACCGTTTCCAAAGGCTACATGCTCGTTTCCTGTGTAGGAAGTGGAGGTAGTGAGATTATTAGCATTTGGTGTCATGTGTGTAGATGCACCCGAATCGACATACCAATCAGAAAAGGCATCAGTGGTATGACATTTGGCAACAAAGGCATGAGCTAAATTTGCATCAATGGATGATGGTCCACGTTGAGCAAAGGTTGAAAGATCCGGACATTGGGAAGCATAGTGTCCATCCTTGCGGCATAATTGGCAGTGGGGTGATCTCCTACCACGACCCCTGCCATATGTGTGACCACCACGAGAGCCTCGTGAGTAGGAGCCATGATTTGAAGAGGCGGAGGAGCAAGAAGATTGTGCATTAAATGCAACCGGTGGAGTACCATATCCGTGCATTGAACGTAGAAAAAGCTCATGTCCCTCAGCAGAAGCAAGAAGATCTTGAAAGGAAGGACTTAGTTTGACAGCCCTGTGAGCTGTGGAGAAGGTTTCGAAAGAAGACCCAAGACCGCATAGAAACCAATGATTTTTGTCTGCTTCATCCACCGGGTGACCAATGGCGGCTAGCTAGTCACAAATGGATTTATACTTACGCCCATAATCTGAAACAGATAGAGTACCTTTCTGAATTTGGCGCAATGCATCTCGTAAATTATGCATTTTTTCTATCGAATCGTGACTGTAGGCAGACTTAAGTGTGGTCCAGACATCACGTGAAATAGTGAGCCCAAGGATTTCTGCCATGTATTCTTCAGTAAGGGAGTCTTGAACAATCAACATTGCTCGTTGATCGGCCTCCAACCAGACAGAGTAGAGAGGATTAGGGGATGATTTGCCTTCGAGCATGACTTCTAGAGCAGGAGCGACAGTTGTACCGTCAACATGATCAAGCAGATTTTGATAGCGAAGGAGTGGAGTAATCTGATTTTTCCACAGTAAGTAATTTGTGGATGAAAATTTAATTGTCAACATATGGAGAATGGTGTTGAGGGTGAGAGCTCCATCAGTAGACGAAGAACCAGTTACCATGATGATGAAAGATGAGAAGAATAGGGTCGACTGATGAGAGAAGAAGAAGGGATCGAGATTTTTAGGCTGATACCATATAAATAATGATATCTGAATCTCCAATAATCTGGAGTATTGTATATTTCACTATATATAAGGATTACAAAATACAAGATAACATAATTTAAATACAATAAATAGCCTATCAAGTAGGACTAGATAATCTTGGTTTTGAGATGGTA